TAAGTAGGAACCTGGGTGTTAGTCACCTCTCATCTGCTACCGCTCTTCACCCAGCAGTAAGTAGGTACCTGGGTGTTAGTCACCTTACACCTGCTGTCACTGTTCACCCAGCAGTAAGTAAGTACCTGGGTGTTAGTCACCTGACACCTGCTGCCACTGTTCACTCAGCAGTAAGTAGGTACCTGGGTGTTAGTCACCTGATACCTGCTGCCGCTGTTCACCCAGCAGTATGTAGGTATCTGGGTGTTAGTCACCTGAAACTTGCTGCGGCTGTTCACCCAGCAATAAGTAGGTACCTGGGTGGTAGTCACCTGGCACCTGCTGTCACTGTTCACCCAGCAGTAAGTAGGTACCTGGGTTTTAGTCACCTGCTGCCGCTGTTCACCCAGCAGTAAGTAGTTACCAGTAAGTAGGCAACCAGAATTCACAGACAACCAGAATTCACAGACAACCAGAATTCACAGACAACCACAATTCACAGACAACCAGAATTCACAGACAACCAGAATTCACAGACAACCACAATTCACAGACAACCAGAATTCACAGACAACCAGAATTCACAGACAACCAGAATTCACAGACAACCAGAATTCACAGACAACCAGAATTCACAGACAACCACAATTCACAGACAACCACAATTTACAGACAACCACAATTCACAGACAACCACAATTCACAGACAACCAGAATTCAGAGACAACCAGAATTCAGAGACAACCAGAATTCACAGACAACCAGAATTCACAGACAACCACAATTCACAGACAACCACAATTCACAGACAACCAGAATTCACAGACAACCAGAATTCACAGACAACCAGAATTCACAGACAACCAGAATTCACAGACAACCAGAATTCACAAACAACCAGAATTCACAGACAACCAGAATTCACAGACAACCAGAATTCACAGACAACCAGAATTCACAGACAACCAGAATTCACAGACAACCAGAATTCACAGACAACCAGAATTCACAGACAACCACAATTCACAGACAACCACAATTTACAGACAACCACAATTCACAGACAACCAGAATTCAGAGACAACCAGAATTCAGAGACAACCAGAATTCAGAGACAACCAGAATTCACAGACAACCAGAATTCACAGACAACCAGAATTCACAGACAACCACAATTCACAGACAACCACAATTCAGACAACCACAATTCACAGACAACCACAATTCAGACAACCACAATTCACAGACAACCAGAATTCACAGACAACCACAATTCAGACAACCACAATTCACAGACAACCAGAATTCACAGACAACCACAATTCACAGACAACCAGAATTCACAGACAACCAGAATTCACAGACAACCACAATTCACAGACAACCAGAATTCACAGACAACCAGAATTCACAGACAACCAGAATTCACAGACAACCAGAATTCACAGACAACCAGAATTCACAGACAACCACAATTCACAGACAACCACAATTTACAGACAACCACAATTCACAGACAACCACAATTCACAGACAACCAGAATTCAGAGACAACCAGAATTCAGAGACAACCAGAATTCACAGACAACCAGAATTCACAGACAACCACAATTCACAGACAACCACAATTCACAGACAACCAGAATTCACAGACAACCAGAATTCACAGACAACCAGAATTCACAGACAACCAGAATTCACAGACAACCAGAATTCACAAACAACCAGAATTCACAGACAACCAGAATTCACAGACAACCAGAATTCACAGACAACCAGAATTCACAGACAACCAGAATTCACAGACAACCAGAATTCACAGACAACCACAATTCACAGACAACCACAATTCACAGACAACCACAATTTACAGACAACCACAATTCACAGACAACCAGAATTCAGAGACAACCAGAATTCAGAGACAACCAGAATTCACAGACAACCAGAATTCACAGACAACCAGAATTCACAGACAACCACAATTCACAGACAACCACAATTCACAGACAACCACAATTCAGACAACCACAATTCACAGACAACCACAATTCAGACAACCACAATTCACAGACAACCACAATTCACAGACAACCACAATTCAGACAACCACAATTCACAGACAACCACAATTCACAGACAACCACAATTCAGACAACCACAATTCACAGACAACCACAATTCAGACAACCACAATTCACAGACAACCACAATTCACAGACAACCACAATTTACAGACAACCACAATTCACAAACAACCAGAATTCAGAGACAACCAGAATTCAGAGACAACCAGAATTCACAGACAACCAGAATTCACAGACAACCAGAATTCACAGACAACCACAATTCACAGACAACCACAATTCACAGACAACCACAATTCACAGACAACCACAATTCAGACAACCACAATTCACAGACAACCACAATTCAGACAACCACAATTCACAGACAACCACAATTCACAGACAACCACAATTCAGACAACCACAATTCACAGACAACCACAATTCACAGACAACCACAATTCAGACAACCACAATTCACAGACAACCACAATTCAGACAACCACAATTCACAGACAACCACAATTCACAGACAACCACAATTCACAGACAACCACAATTCACAGACAACCACAATTCACAGACAACCACAATTCACAGACAACCACAATTCAGACAACCACAATTCACAGACAACCACAATTCAGACAACCACAATTCACAGACAACCACAATTCACAGACAACCACAATTCAGACAACCACAATTCACAGACAACCACAATTCAGACAACCACAATTCACAGACAACCACAATTCACAGACAACCACAATTCACAGACAACCACAATTCACAGACAACCACAATTCAGACAACCACAATTCACAGACAACCACAATTCAAACAACCACAATTCACAGACAACCACAATTCACAGACAACCACAATTCAGACAACCACAATTCACAGACAACCACAATTCAGACAACCACAATTCACAGACAACCACAATTCACAAACAATCAATCACAGTTCACACTAATAAAGGTATTGTTTTGCTTTATATATTCAGCACTTGTCAGATGACTCGTGATTCTTGCAGCAAAATGTTGCTTCAGATTTTTCTGATATGAAGGACTTAGGATTCAAAGGATGCCACCTTCAAGGATCATAATAATGTCATTATCACAACGGGGAGAATGATAGGATGGATAATGAGAACCTTCAAAACTAGAGATGCCAAGCTAGTGATGAGCCTCTAAGGTATTTGTTATATCTGATATTGCTGTACTCTAACAGTATGTTTCAAGGTGGGCGAAACTCCAGATCTGGAGAATGTACAGAGGACCTTCACTGTACATATCATTTCAGTAAAGTATCTCACTGGGAACGTTTGATGTTCCTTGACCTGTACTCCTTGGAGCACAGGCGAGAAAGGTACCTGGAGAATCCTAGAGGGACTGGTTCCAAACATGCACACAGAAATAACTCCCTATGAAAGCAAAAGACTCGGCAAACAGAGCAATATATCCCAAGTGAAAAGCGAGGGTACTGTGAGTACAATGATAGACAACACAGTGAGTGTGCGGGGCCCAAGGCTGTTCAACAGCATCCCATCATAAATAAGGGGAGCTTTACTAATAGACCCATATTTGTCTTCAAGATGGAACTGGACATATACCTACAGTCAGTGCCTGACCAGCCGGGCTGTGGTTCGTACTCTGGATTGTGTGTGGCCAGCAGTAACAGCCTTGTTGATCAGACCCTGGTCCATCGTGAGCCCTGGTCATGAACTGGGCCGCGGGGGCGTTGACCCCCAGAACCCCCTACAGGTAAGTAGACACATTGTTCACTCAACTTCTTGTATAAACTTCTGGAGAAATGATGGACTCATAAGTCTTTTGTATCTATGTGATTCTTGAAACCCGACTGACATGTTCAGCCATACCTGTGTCTTATTTACCAGGCAGCTCAGTTATGTCTGGAATGATTCCAGTAGCAGGACCACCAGTGCTCTTAGTGGAACAAAACAAGAGCAGTCACTGTGCTCGGTATGAGGAGGTTCGATTCAAGGAAGCGAAGACAGACTCAATTCTTTGTACACAGAGCCTCCTAGTTGGCATCAAGGAACATTCCTAGAGGGGCCTAGATTGAGAGATGAAAGGGAATGAGAGGTAAAGTGAAGAGGAGTGAGTGCGAGGTGTAGCGAGTGAGAGGGGGAGTGAGCAGTTTATGAGTGGGGTATAGGTGAGGGGAAGAGGAGATGAGTGGTTAGCTCTCCCCTTTGTCGATAATCACCTCTAGTATGTACTTCCCTCATAAGCTGACCCCTTCCCTTCCCCCCTCATCTATCCTCCCCTCATATCTTCCCTACCCCCTCATATTTCTCCCTCTCTCATACCCACTAACCCCAGACCACTGGCTGTGTCAGTGAACCAAGTAGTAACCACCTAGACTTTATTTACCGCTCTAGTCTACTCAGAAACTCTTCTGTCAAAGTATTTTATCCACACTGGTATATTACCAACCATTCTGGAAAAATACCCTGACTTCGCCTATTAAATTACGCATTACCACTTATACTTGTGTGTGTGTACTCACCTATTTGTACTCACCTATTTGTGGTTGCAGGGGTCGAGTCACAGCTCCTGGCCCCGCCTCTTCGCTGATTGCTACTAGGTCCTCTCTCTCCCTGCCCCATGAGCTCTATCATACCTCGCCTTAAAACTATGTATGGTTCCCGCCTCCACTACGTCACTTTCTAGGCTATTCCACGGTCTGACTACTCTATGATTGAAGAAATACTTCCTAACATCCCTTTGATTCATCTGAGTCTTCAACTTCCAATTGTGACCTCTTGTGTCTGTGTCCCATCTCTGGAACATCCTGTCTTTGTCCACCTTGTCTATTCCGCGCAGTATTTTATATGTCGTTATCATGTCTCCCCTGACCCTCCTGTCCTCCAGGAGTGTGTGTGTGTGTGTGTGTGTGTGTGTGTGTGTGTGTACTCACCTAATTGTGGTTGCAGGTGTCGATTCACAGTTCCTGGTCCCGCCTCTTCAGTGGTCGGTACTAGGTCCACTCTCCCTGCTCCATGAACTTTCTCATACTTCTTGAAACTGTAAATGGATCCTGCCTTCACTACATCACTTTACAGACTATTACACTTCCTGACAACTCTATGAATGAAGAAATACTTCCTAACATCCTCGTGATTCATCTGAGTCTTCAACTTCCAATTGTAACAACTTATTACTGTGTCCCATCTCTGGAATATCCTGTCCCTAGCCACCTTGTCAATGTATGTGCGCGTGTGTATGTATGTGTGTGTGTGTGTGTGTGTGTGTGTGTGTGTGTGTGTGTGTGTGTGTGTGTGTGTACTAACCTAGTTGAGGTTGCAGGGGTCAAGTCCAAGCTCCTGGCCCCGCCTCTTCACTGGTTGCTACTAGGTCACTCTCCCTGAACCGTGAGCTTTATCATACCTCTGCTTAAAGCTATGTATGGATCCTGCCTCCACTACATCGCTTCCCAAACTATTCCACTTCCTGACTACTCTGTGGCTGAAGAAATACTTCCTAACATCCCTGTGATTCATCTGTGTCTTCAACTTCCAACTGTGTCCCCTTGTTACTGTGTCCAATCTGTGTGTGTGTGTGTGTGTGTGTGTGTGTGTGTGTGTGTGTGTATCTGTGTGTGTATCTGTGTGTGTGTGTGTGTGTGTGTGTGTGTGTGTGTGTGTGTGTGTGTGTGTCTGCGTACTAACCTAGTTGTGGTTGCAGGGGTCGATTCACAGCTCCTGGCCCCGACTCTTCACTGGCCGCTACTAGGTCCTCTCTCTCCCTGTTCCATGAGCTTATCATACCTCGTCTTAAAGCTATGTATGGTTCCTGTCTCCACTACATCACTTGCTAGAATAATCCACTTCCTGAATACTTCCTAAGAAGAAATACTTCCTAACATCCCTTTGACTCGTCTGAGTCTTCAACTTCCAATTATGACCCCCATGTTTCTGTGTCCCCTCTTTGGAACTTCCTGTCTCTGTCCACCTTGTCTATCCCACGCAGTATTTTGTATGGCGTTATCATGTCTCCTCTAAGCCTCATGTTTTCCAGTGTCGTCAGGCCGATTTCCTTTAACCTTTCTTCATAGGACATTCCCCTTAGCTCTGGAACTAACCTTGTCGCAACTCTTTGCACTTTCTTTAATTTCTTGACGTGCTCGTCCCGGTGTGGGTTCCAAATAGGTGCTGCATACTCCAGTATGGGCCTGACGTACACGGTATACAGTGTCTTGAACGATTCCTTACCGAGGTATCGGAACGCTATTCTCAGGTTTGCCAGTCACCCATATGCTGCAGCAGTTATCTGGTTGATGTGTGCTTCGGGAGATGTGCTCGATGTTATACTCACCCCAAGATCTTTCTCCTTGAGTGAGGTTTGCAGTTTTTGACCACCTAGCCTATACTCTATCTGCGGTCTTCTTTACCCTTCCCCGATCTCCATGACTTTGCATTTGGCGGGGTTAATTGTATGTGTGTTTGGATGTGTGTGGGTGTGTGTGTACTCACCTAATTGTGGTTGCAGGGGTCGAGACTCAGCTCCTGGCCCCGCCTCTTCACTGATCGCTACTAGGTTCTCTCCCTCTCTGCTTCCTGAGCTTTGTCATACCTCTTCTTAAAACTATGTATGGTTCCTGCCTCCACTACTTCGCTTGCTAGGCTATTCCACTTCCTGACGACTCTATGACTGAAGAAATACTTCCTAACGTCCATGTGACTCGTCTGAGTCTTCAGCTTCCAATTGTGACCCCTTGTTTCTGTGTCCCCTCTCTGGAACATCCTGTCTCTGTCCACCTTGTCTATTCCCCGCAGTATCTTGTATATCGTTATTATGTCTCCCCTGACCCTTCTGTCCTCCAGTGTCGTCAGTCCGATTTCCCTCAACCTTTCCTCGTATGACATTCCCCTGAGCTCTGGAACTAGCCTTGTTGCAAACCTTTGTACTTTCCCTAACTTCTTGACGTGCTTGACCAGGTGTGGGTTCGTGTGGGTTCGTGTGGGTTGGACAGCACCTCCAGTTTCACCATTACTGTCTACCAAGACAGCACTATCAACCCCACATTTACTGACTACCAGGGCACCTCCAGCCTTACAGTTTCTGACTACCTGGCCAGCACCAAGGGAGATGCCATCCAGACCAGACTTTTTATTTTCCCATCTGTTATAGAATGCTTCCAGGTTTTCTATGAAGGCTGTTTTGATGTTATCCTCTTTTAATACCCTTGTGATTTTAGTCCACAGATTGATCTCATTCGGGCATACCCAAAAACACTTGCCTGATTTAATACTGCTTGTAGAGTTCTTGGATATCTGCACAAGGGGCGTGACACCAATTTTCACAAAAAATTGCCAATTTATCCATGTGGAAGCTCGTTTGTATGATTTACTGCAGACTACACAGAGCTTCATAATGTGATTTGAATGGTTGATTTACTGTAATTCTACTAGTGACCTCTTGAATATTCTACTAATAACCTCCTTAAAGTGAAGCTCTAGCTATTTGTATTTCTATTTCTAACTGTACTTGTATATTAATACAGCTTACCGGAGTACGTTTGTTTTATATTTATTGTTTGTGTTTGATAAGGGCGTCTAAAACCCTGTCTGTTTACAGTCTGCTTTATTGTCCAACGAATCCGTTTGAAACCGGTCAAGGGTTCGGACCAGTCAAGGGTTCGGACCAGTCAAGGGTTCGGAACCAGTCGGATCTGATCAGTAGATCACTTATTTAAAACATACTGGTCGGTGATTTGGCTAACTCATCAGAGTATATGCTACATATATCCAGGATAATTTATCTCCCTCCAGGTGAGGGAGAGTACTGCTTGACGGTACTCTCCCTCCAGGTTAGGGAGAGTACTGCTTGACGGTACTCTCCCTCCAGGTGAGGGAGAGTACTACTTCACAGTACTCTCCCTCCAGGTGAGGGAGAGTACTGCTTGACGGTACTCTCCCTCCAGGTGAGGGAGAGTACTACTTCACAGTACTCTCCCTCCAGGTGAGGGAGAGTACTGCTTGACGGTACTCTCTCTCCAGGTGAGGGAGAGTACTACTTCCCAGTTCATGATGTGGCAGTGAGGACCTCAGTGAGTGAGAGATGAACAACACCGGGATATACCCAGACGCCCAGCCAGTCAGCGGCTTTGGACTGATGTAGCCACAGGTTGGAGAAACACTTCCGCAGCAAAGATACTCAAGCGTTGTGCACAAGCCGTGATCGTGTGTTGGCTGGGGTTTTTAAACCATCAACAATAAGATTGGTGTACCACACGTGTGCTCACCTATTTGTGGTTGCAGAGGTCGAGTCACGGCTCCTGTGTTGTAGCCACTAACGACGCACCAGCTACAGTTGGAAAATATATCTAGACGACGTTTCGCCCGTGCAGCAGGCCGAAACGTTCTCTTAATAAATTTGTAGATAAATGGCTCAGAGAACCGACAAGATGACTGTGTGTGTGTGTGTGTGTGTGTGTGTGTGTATACTCAGCTATTTGTGACTGCAGGGGTCGAGACTGAGCTCTTGGACCCGCCTCTTCACTGAGTGCTACTAGGTCCTCTCTCTCCCTGCTCCATGAGCTTTATCATACCTCATCTTAAAGCTATGTATGGTTCCTGCCTCCACTACCTCACTTGCTAGGCTATTTCACTTCCTAACAACTCTATGACTGAAGAAATACTTCTTAACATCCCTTTGACTCATCTGGGTTTTCAACTTCCAAGTGTGACGCCTTGTTTCTGTGTCCCCTCTCTGGAACATCCTGTCTCTGTCCACCTTGTCTATTCCACGCAGTATTTTGTATGTCGTTATCATGTCTCCTCTAACCCTCCTGTCTTCCAGTGTCGTCAGTCCGATTTCCCTTAACCTTTCATCATAGGATATTCCCCTCACCTCTGGAACTAGCCTTGTTGCAAACCTTTGCACTTTCTCTAATTTCTTAACGTGTTTGACCAGGTGTGGGTTCCAAACTGGTGCTGCATACTCCAGTATGGGCCTGACGTATACAGTGTATAGAGTCTTGAACGATTCCTTACTGAGGTACCGGAACGCTGTTCTCAGGTTTGCCAGGCGTCCATATGCTGCAGCAGTTATCTGGTTAATGTGTGCCTCCGGAGACGTGTTCGGTATTATACTCACTCCTAGGTCTTTCTCCTTGAGTGAGGTTTGAAGTCTTTGGCCACCTAGGCTATACTCTGTCTGCAGTCTTCTTTGCCCTTCTCCGATCTTCATGATTTTGCATTTGGCGGGGTTAAATTCTAGGAGCCAGTTGCTGGACCAGGTGTCCAGCCTGTCCAGGTGTCTTTGTAGACCTGTCTGGTCCGCATCTGATTTAATTCTCCTCATTAACTTCACATCATCTGAAAACAGGGATACTTGTGAGTCTATCCCTTCCGTCATGTCGTTAACATATACCAAGAATAGCACTGGTCCCAGGACTGACCCCTGTGTGACACCGCTCGTCACTGGCGCCCACTGTGATACCTCATCACGGACCATGACTCGCTGTTGCCTCCCTGTTAGGTATTCTCTGATCCATTGCAGTGCCCTTCCTGTTATGTGCCTGATCCTCTAGCTTCTGTACTAATCTTTTGTGAGGAACTGTGTCGAAGGACTTCTTGCAGTCCAAGAAAATACAATCAACCCACCCTTCCCTCTCATTTCTTACTTCAATTACCTTGTCATTGTGAGACCTTTACCCTTCAGCCTCCACTGTAAATACTTTCTGAAATCTCATGCTGAGCTGCTCACATATTTCTTGGTCATTTCTTGTGAGTTCCCCACCTTCTTTCCTCAGCCTGATTACCTGGCCCTTGACCGTTGTCGTCCTCCTGATGTGGCTGCAAAGCAGTTTCGGGTCAGACTTGACTTTCGATGCTATGTCGTTTTCATACTGCCGCTGCACCTCCCTCCTTATCTGTGCATACTCGTTTCTGGCTCGTCGACTAATCTCTTTTATTTTCCTGGGTGCCTTTGCCTTCTGTACTCAGTGCTTCCATTCTTAGTGCCACTTCGTTTTTGGCTCCCTAATTTCGGGTAAACCAAGGTCGTACTGTCCTTTCCCA